ATCAAAAAAGTACTCCAGAGTGTTGTTCAGCATGGGGGTGAGTAGAAAATGAAGGCTAATCATGTTTTGGGTGTACTATTCCTTTAAGGTGGTTATAGTCCTCTTCCACTCTTTTTAAATATATGTTGCAGCGTTGGATAAATATCATTAGGACTTTGTGATAAGCCAAGGTTTGCATCTAAAACACCCTTGAATCATTAATTAAATAAAATTATTCACATTTTATAACCTTCAATATGGCAGATTTAAGTTTGGTAGATTTAAATATATAGAAAAAATATTTTCATAAATATGGAAAAAAACAAAAAAAACTGCAATAAAAACAAAAGTTGGACATATGTGGGCACTAATGGTGGAACGACCATTAATCAGGTTAATTTTGTACAGAAGTTTTTTTTTATTATTATTGTTTTTCATAATAAATAAAATCATCACCTGCAGAGTGTTTTTATTTTTTTCTCGTTTACTCTTGTCTCAAAAAAAAGCAATATATAATGAGGAGTAAATACATTTCAAAGCTCTAGTTTATCCTTTTTTTAGCCAAATACATTTTATATGCATGAAACTTTGCTATACAGTTTATTTAGTAATTTGTTTTCTTTTTTATTATTTTTATATCACCATTCTAGCCTTTCACCTAAAAGTAATAACTTCTGTGTCCTTTTTTTTTGCATCTTCCCTAATTTATTTATTTTCATTATTTCTTGGATGGTTTAAATTGTTCTTTTTATTATCGATTCATTTCACATACTTTTTTTTTTCATGTTTAAGGTAGAAGCATTTATCTTAGTTTGTCTTTTTTGCATCCAGGTGGCATCTTGGACTAAATACTGGGTCGCGCTTTGTGGAACTCAGCTTTACTACTATCCTGCCAAGTCCCTGAAGGCCACAGAGAGGAAGCATGTAAGTCGGACCCAAACATCCCCACATTGCTCACATTTTTGTCTCCGGAGATTGAGGTTAGTTCAGATTATTACAGGACGGCGGGAGCAAGAAAACAGAAGAGAAATACTGAGTTCATCTTATGAGCTGCAGTTGTGATTGGAATGTCTTAAAAACGCTGGTTTGTTTTACAGGAATTCCACATGTGATAGCCATTACCCACTCACTTCTAAAACAGTTTAATTACTGACTGAACTCAGAGAAAAACACTCGGCTTTTACTTGTTTTGAAAAAGAAAATAAAGGCCAAAAGACACAAGATTTTTTATCTCCTCAGATAAGAGGACAAAATGAGGATAACTGAGTAAACGCGATGTTCAGAGGATGGCCGTCAGTGTGCTGCAGCCAGGGGGCACAGATGGCAGCTCTCAGTGTATAATAGGAGCCATGAATACGAGGCTTCGCTCACAGCTTTTAGCACTTATTCTTCCAAAAAGAGGCATCTTCATTTAGTAAGTGGCTTTAAAGGAAGTGCAGAAACAAAGGAGAGCATACCGCCTAATTATCAGGGCTTCAGGTGGTAAAAGGACTGGATAACGTCTCCAGAATATGTCCCCTTCCTTTCCTGTGTGTGGGTAAAAAAAAATATATATATATATAAATATATATATATATATATATATATATACATACATACACACACTCACCGGCCACTTTATTAGGTAC